CCTAAAAATGTCACACCTCACCTTACCCCACGGATTTCCGTCTCCGGCGGTAAAACCCTTTGAAGAACGGAGCTAACACATTAAAAACCTCCCACAAAATGGCCGTGCGCAACCGGCCTCAAGCAGTTGTCCGTTGGGCTCTGCGGTCACGCACCCAGGTCGTTAAGACCAACGCTAATCCGATTTTCTTTTCAGGTTCCTCAAGAAATACCCTTCCACGGTGTGGGCAGCCGGGAAGTGATATCAGCACTCATACCCGTAACAGCACACGAGACCACGTTGGTCACATTCAAATCCTTCCTACACCTCCTAATGACTCTCTTATCTCCACGACTAACCCTTCTTACGTCTCTATCACCTCACACCACTAGTGCAAACGATTCGAGTACGCGGAACATTATTCCTGGTCTCCTGAAACCACGCTCTAAACTACACATAGGAGCTTTCAACGTCCGAACACTGCCAAATAGGACAACAGGCTTCCTTAGCTAGGTTTTTAGAATCTCGCTCCATCGATGTGTGCTGCGTCTCCGAAACGCGCATACAGGATCCGAGTAGTGTCATTCATTTGACCTCACTATGTCAAAGTAACAAACCAACTCGATTTACGCTCCGTGTATCTGGAAGCCCTGATGCTGCTTCCCGTTGCCTCGCTGGCGTAGGTATAGCATTGAGTCCTAGGGCGGAACTAGCTCTCTTAGACTGGATCCCAGTAGACAGTCGTTTGTGCGCTGTCCGACTAAACGGAACAGTAAGGACTCGGAAAGATAGGGACACTCGTCGTTGCCTCTTTGTCGTCTCTGCCTACTCTCCCGCTGACTGCAGCTCAGATAATGTAAAAGATGAGTTTTACAGAAAGCTTTCCGACCTCCGAAAAGCTAGGCGTTCAGATGTAGTAATAGTGGCTGGTGACTTTGATGCTCAAGTAGGTAAACTATGCGAAAGGGAGAAACACGTGGGTGGCTCTTATGATGTCGCGGCTCAGAGAACAGATAACGGTGACCGTCTGTTGCAACTATGCTCAGATAACCGCCTATTTCTTGCAAATACCAACTTTAAGCATAAGGAAAAACATCTTTTAACATGGAGACCCCCTAATTCGCATCAACGCTGGACCCAAATAGATCACATCGCTATCAGCCACCGATGGAGGGGCTCGATAGAAGACTATCGCTCATTCTGTAGCACATGCTTAGACTCAGATCATGCTCTAGTGCGAGCGCGTATTTGTCTACTTCTTACTGGATGTAGGAAAGATGGTGCAAAGAAACCCCTTAGGGTCCTACTTAATGATAGTCAAGCTAAGAGTATATTTGAGGAACAACTAGAAAAACAGTTAGGCAGCCATGTAAGTGATGCCCACCCCGAGGCAGCGTGGAACGACATCCAAAAAGCTGTAGAAACAGCAGTGATGTCTGCAAGTATGGTAAATCATAAGGTTAGGGAGAAACACTGGATCTCAGCAGCGTCTACCACACTGATAGATGCTCGAAAACTCATTCCATCTGGCTCTGAACATAACGAAGAGCGGAGTCAGCTTAAGCGTAAGCTGACTAGAAGCCAACGCAAGGATCGTGAACAGTGGTGGGTAGCGAAAGCAAGAGAGATGGAAAAGGCAGCGGCAATAGGTAACAGCAGGCAACTGTTCAGACTTGTTAAGGAAACCGGGATTAGGAACCCAACTGTTAGCGCAACAATCTCAGAGAAAGACGGACATATTATTCATTCTCAATCCAGGAGATTGGATCGATGGACAGAACACTTTAGGGATCAGTTCAACTGGCCTTCAGCCACACTTCAGTTTCCCACGATCTCCAATCTACCTGAATGGCAAGTTAATGTGAATCCTCCGACTCTTTACGAAGTTGAAAAAGCTATAGGAAATCTGAAGCGTGGGAGAGCAGTAGGCCCTGACAGGTTTACCTCTGAGATTTTTAAGGATGACGGTCCAGTATTAGCAGCGAGATTAACTGAGGTCTTAGGTAGAACCTGGGAACTGGATGTAATCCCATCTGACTGGTCTCAATCACTGATCGTGCCAGTTTATAATAAAGGACAAAAGTCTTCTTGTGACTATCACAGAGGAATTAGTTTGACTAATATAGCGTCTAAAATATTAGCTTCAATAATACTTCGACGTCTAACCAAAGCTTGTGAAATGCAGACTAGAGAAAACCAGGCTGGTTTTCGACCTGGACGTGGTTGTATAGATCAGATATTCACACTACGTCAGGTTCTAGAACATGGACACATTCAGACGCCCCACAATGGTAGTATTTCTTGACCTTAAGGCGGCATTTGACTTTGTTGATCGTGAGGTTCTATGGCAGTGTTTGTCACTGGAAGGAGTACCAAAGAAGTACATTAACCTTATAAAGGCTCTCTACTTGAACACAACTGGTCGAGTGAGAGCTTATGGTGAACTGTCATCAGAACTGATTACCTCAAGTGGCGTTCGTCAGGGCCGTCCACTCTCTCCATTCTTGTTTAACTTTGTTGTTGACGTGTTTTTAGAGATGACACTTTCCTCATCTAAATTTCCAGGAGTTGAACTTTTACCGGGAGATTCACTTGTTGACTTAGAATATGCCGATGACATAGTTCTATTTAGTGAAGACGCTGACAAAATGCAGTCTGCTGACCACTCTAAGCAACAATGTAGACATGTTCGGGATGCGATTTTCTCCCTCGAAATGCAAAATGTTGCTTCAGGATTGGGTTGCATCGGCACACGAACTAGTGATAGGGAGTGAAGTTGTTGAACGTGTCGACCGCTTCACTTATCTTGGAAGTCTCATCAGCCCTCGTGGTCTGATGTGTGACGAAATCTCAGCACGGATACAGAAGGCTCGACTAGCTTTTGCCAACTTGCGTCATTTGTGGCGTAGGCGAGATATCCGTCTTGTAACCAAAGGACGAGTTTACTGCGCAGCAGTTCGTTCCGTCCTACTTGATAGTAGTGAAACATGGCCAGTAAGAGTAGAGGACATTCGTAGGTTACTAGTATTTGATCATAGGTGTCTTCGAAACATTGCTCGTATATCCTGGGACCACCGAGTAAGTAACTCAGTTGTTAGGAAACGGGTACTAGGTAAGGATAGCAAATAATTGATGAAGTTGTGAAACTTCATCAGTTGAGATGGCTGGGACATGTGTTGCGCATGCCAGACAACCGACTGCCCCGACGTGCGATGTTTTATGGTGTTGGAATAGGTTGGAAGAAAGCTAGGGGCGGCCAGACCAAAACATGGCACAAATCCATGAAGTCACTGACAAGTGGACTGAGCCATGTTGGTAGATGTAGACTACCTGGTTGGGGACCGCGAGATGATAGCAACCGATGTTTAGAGATCTTGAATGACATGGCTAAAAATCGTTTGCAGTGGCGCAGGTGCACCCACTCTCTGTGTTCTCCCAAACTCTAATCTTCTGAATTCCTCAAGTCCTTTATTTTCTTTCCAAATATATTCCACTGGACTATACTCCTTAAATAACATCATCAAACCTTAACGTTTCCTGTCACTACTTATACTTTCACTACTCTGCCACTACGGGATTTGAGACGATAACTGAATCTCTGTGCTAATGTGGTATGGCAACTCGAACTGATGTACGTACGTACGAAGTTCCACGTTGTTTCTGACTGACTGACCCGGGCAGTATCACAGCCCTCACACAAATCAACTGAGATTCGTGTGGCGCATATGTTTTTGGTGCCTCCTTGTACCAAAATCTGTGTTAAAATAAATTAATTAATTAATTGTTTCATGATCACTGCGATCGGCGAATTGTTTTAAATTTTTACTCTAGGTACATAAATGCTATTAAATATGATGTAACTGGTACTCCCTATGTACTAACGTACTAACAGTATCACGTCATGCTTATGTGTGACTACACGCTCCATGCCTTTTTACGCGAAATAAGTATGCTGTTTAAAGCTAACTTTTGCTATGCATGTAAATAAACCCATAAAGGGCCGTTCGTTGCCGATGCAACAATACACATTATTGTGCAAACCCTGAAGCCGTATTCATAAAAACATTTACCTCTATAAACCATTCTGTTGAGAACGACTTAAAGTTAACTACAGCTCAGCACCAATCATTGTTCTTAGCTCAAAATGGTTATCCGCCTCTAAGTATTCTCAAACACATTTCAGAACAAAAACGACTCCAGTCAACTAGACTCCACACTATGTATGTGTTTTAGGTTATTTCCGTGTTTTGGAGGGTGTGTCCTCCTCAGGAAAAACTGTGGAGCTAATCACAACTACTCTTCTCGGAGAAGTTTCTGTGCGTACCTTGCATGGTCATTTTGCCGTGGACTACAGTAAAGTTCCATTTCATAGACCTCATTTTTCTGTTTTATCATACATGTACTCACAAGACCATATCATAGTTACTAGTACAATCTCTCTTCTCTCTAACGGCCTATTTAACAATTATCCACTGGGTCATGTTGTGGAATTACGTTTAGAAATAGGGAGAATGATCGTAGCTATTGACTTACTTTTCAGTTGCAGTAAATAGTTTATCTACTGATTTCCTGTTCATCGATTTTTCAGTTTCAGTCTGTTATACATGACCGACTGACCTTTAACTTCACAAACTTGATTGTTTTTAATTATGAAGTGTGTGGGACATTTTGGAACTTGAGATGAATCTTAATAATTCATATGCTTTATATTTCCACCAACACATCTCTTTTAAGACTGTATTCAAAGCTCCCTGACTACTTGACCTTTCCCAATCTATAAAAATAAATTTGAGATGGCTTTGGAGCTTTTGTGCTAGTTTTATTCGGCCAGTTAGATTGTAAACACAAATGTTCTCAACGCATCGATTTCGGATGTCAATTGGAATTAATCAAACCCTTGAAGTAAAAACACATCATAATTTATATGATTTCGATCTTGATTTTCCTCACTGTTCTTTTGGCAAGTTATATTTTTTAAATATTTTTAGAACAAATAAATTTTGATATTCACCGTATAATGGATGCACAATAATGTTTCGTTGCAATCAGTTACAATAATGTCAGATGTTAGTCGACTTATCAATCCGTCTGTAAATAATTCAGATGTTGATGCATACCCAAGGTTTGCAGGTCGTACACTAAGGAGTGATTTGTCGGATAAACTATTTAGTCCATCTAAGCAGGTAACAAGCTGGAAAAATTTAAGGAACAATTCATGTAGGTTAGGTTCCGCCCAAATGTCATTACAAATTCCTCTGATCATCTAGCTAACAAAGTGTCTTGGGATTTTACTGAATCTGGTCTCGATGAATTGACCAATATTACATCATCTTTTGGTAATTCGGACTCCATTTCCATATTGCAAAATCGTTACCCACCAGATAATGCGCCTACACAAAGCCGCTTTGATTCTAAACAAACATTTTATGATGTATCTGAGGCGATGGAAAATAATGTAAATAAAATGTGTGATCTTTCTGTGAATACTGAATGTCACCCTAAAGGCAGCTGTCAAAGTGTTTCATTCCTCAAAACTACTGATCACCTCCCTCAACAGCCATTATCATCCTGTGGTCCTGTATATAGTTCCAAAAACTGTCCTTCAGATGCGAAAAGTTCAAGTGACCAAGATCCAAGAGAACTACCCAGCTATTCTTTTACACATTCCGAAAGTCTTTCTTTGTCAAGTTTGACAGATTTAAGTTGTCTGGATCCAGATACAACTTCTTTTTGCAATCCAGGCGATGCGACTCTAAATTTTTCACAACCAGTCTTCAATACAACGAAAGCCTTAGAACGCGAGATTAAATCCCTGTCTAAGAAAGTCAACAGTTCTTCCAAAGAGGTAAGTTTCTTGTTTTATGCTCCAGTTAATTGTAGTGTAACTGTATAAAGTAGCCTGCTGATCTAACGAAACTGGATAAGTATAATAGTTTTGGTTGATTAGAATGTTACTTAATTTATACCGTTAAAATGGTGACAAAATGATGCAACCTGCTTATTTCTGATTCATATGTAACTTTAAAATAGCTCTTCCATATTAGTATAACTAATATTAATCAGGCTTGAATAACTCCAAAGTGCCTGTATGATATATTTGTTCACTGTGCATAATAAGCAAGTAACAAGTATTTAATTATAGATTGTTACATGCACTCACACATTCAGATTAATTACAGCGAATGTTATTAGTCAATGAAATCCCCTCTTAGTATTTTACTCCCTTCTTGAGAGAGACCCAAAAGAATTACCCGTCTGTAACTTATATCTCAATGGTTGATTTTTTCATTCCAGACATTCTTTGATTGACACAGTGTTCAGAAATCTCATGCTAAGTATTAAGACAAGTTGAATGTATTCTTCTAAACATCATGTGAAAACTGTCAAATACTTCATGTGCTTTGTATGTGACATTTAAAATTGAAACAGTGACAAAGTTTTGGTGCAAATATCCGTTGGTGTTTGCTTAATTACAGGAATAACAAACCCAATGAAATATTTCCTTATCGATCAACATTATATGAGTAATACATACCTTATTCTAATATTCACCAGTAAAAACATTTTAATCGGAATAAAGTTTAAAGTGGTTATGATCGTTCCTTTATGATCTCCTACTTTTGAAGCGTCACTAGCCGACAGTGAGGTTATCAACTAAACAATGTTAGGATGAAATGGGAGGTTATTGGACAAAATTAGACCAGTTGTAACTGTTTTAATTCGTCCGTTTACCATGGTTTAAGGTTGGAAGTAACACATAGTAAGTATGCTATTGAGGATACCACAAGTAGTATTCGAACTGAAACTTGACACTAACCTACATTTTTTTGGCAATCTGGTTGGGTTTTCTAGTCATGTTACCCTCTTTATTTTCCTATATTAAAACCTTACATTTTGGTTGCTGTTTACCTTCTTTTTGAAGATAATTTCGCGTTGACTATTGGCTTATTTATTTATTATCATTATTATTGCCCTGAAAGAAAGCTCGGTATAATAGGGTACCAAACATGTGTTCTATACAAAACGAAATGTGTTGTGAAGAGATAAAAGGGTGACAAATCATGCTAAAAAAATAAGTGAATCGAAATAATAAAATATATTTAAAAAGTGCAATCAGAATTTAAAGACAATCACGATAGATTTCATTTAGCGTTAGGATATGCATTTTACCGTTTATGAAGATATACTATAGAAAATCATAGCATAACTCCCGCTGAAATCTGTAGTTCTTAGGATCCGACCCAAAAATTCTTAATGCTCATTAAAGAAACTGTTTAATTCCAGCATACCATGTCGTAATCTGAACATCTCTACTTTTCTACTTATTCTAAAAGTTGACGAATAATATACAATATGCAATGACATATGTAATGTATGACCAATCGACGAAAGCTGGTATTATAAGATGATATCACCTACAGAATTGTCATGTCCAATGTACCTGAACAGGTGTTTCAGGACCTCAGTATTATTTACACAATTTGCCCACTAGATCTAACCCATCTTATATGCTGTAGTACGGCTTGGTGTACATAATCTTCTCTGCCTCTTGAAATCCTACACATCTGAGTATTTATAGTTCTTCCCACTCGTTGCCTTCGCACACTTAAAGTCTTCCTTAAATGTTGGATGAATATCGAAAAAGCTTGATACTTAACCAATGATATACATCATTTCTTAAGTCCAGACCAAATGGGTGATAAAGCGGTATTTGTTAGCAGACGTCCACTTTTTCACTATCATCTTTGTAAAACTTTACTGAGTTGAGGACATCATGTTTGGGCAATAATTTGTCCTACCTCCTCCCGGAGACATCAAAACATATTAGGAATTATGAAAATGTTTTAATATTAATTCACTGATAATGCACTAGCATAATAGTTTGTAAGTTCAAAAATTTAATATTGTCCATTAAATTTCATCGTGATGCTAACCTTTGAATAAAAAAACAGTACAGTGTATTTTTCTCCACCATTAAGCATCCCACTGACGAAATACGCTCAGAAGCGGAACGTATTGTAAATGAAGCTTGCAATACTCTTCCCGCTGGAGATAACTCCATCAATCCTTTAATTCTCAATCCAAGAATCACTGTTAATATACCTGAAAATGTATCTACGTATGAAAATCTTATAGATTTGACAGTGGATGAATCGGAAATAGTACGTTTGGAGCGTCAAAGAATTGCAGCCCAGCGTAAACGATTGATTGAAGCGAATAGGAAACAAAATATCAAAGTTGTAAGCTTTATATTTTTGTCTCACTATTTTCGGGAATAAGGCCAGTTTTATCGTGTTTCATATTGATGATATTGTTGTTAATATGTGTAAGCTATTCAGCTTCAAGGGTGGTGCTTAGTCTTAAACTGAGTCGCTTAATAATGACAACTCCTCATGTCTTTGCTGGAATAAAAATCCAACCCACCAAAATTAATTAAAGAATATTAATTCATTTAAGTTAGACGATATCATTCATGTAGATGGAAGGTTTCAATTTCCGTCTTTACATTTTGATAGTAAGCACTCGATTATATTTCCTACCAGGCACTTTGCTTACAGACTTGATCATGATCTACTTCCACGTACATAAAACCCATGTCAGGATCATGCACTTGCTTAGTAGTCTTTGCAAAGAAATACGGATTATTAGAGATCTCGTATCCTTTTTTGACTCAGAAATGTCGGTTCTTGTAGTCATCCACTTACCTTATTTTGATCATTTAGCGATAGTCCACGTGACGCGAAATCTTCAGGATTCAGTTTACTCCTAACGTATCTATTAATTTCGAATAGATAGCTCATATGTAGTTACCACTGCATTATTACTTACAAACGTTTTAAGTCCTTTGGTTGTATCTCTTACAACCAAGCATGATTAGCGAATTTTTTAATAGGTAACAGAGAAAAAAGGAGTATTTAAACTGTTCTCCAAGTAAGATTTAAGTGAATAAATGTGCAGAGAGATTTAACTAAGTGTTTTAGTCCTTATCAATGACGTTATTGCAACTATAAATCAGTCACCAAGGCCTATTATCAAACAGGCAAACTATGGAATCAACGGAAAAATAAAGATTACAACCGAAAAGATTATCCGGAATGAAGAATCAGATAGTTAGACAACGATGATGGCCAACTGCAAAAGTAGTGGATGTTTTGGAAAGAAATGTCAACTCCGATCCATAGGAATGAATCAACGAATAATATCCCAGTTAAAAACCCGCCACTTAGACGCAATGTGATCTCGGACTAACCACTCTTTATTTGACTAACAATCACAGAATTGTGCCTTTTTCATAAACATGACTAATTTTTTCATTGTTTTATTTTGTGTTCCTACCACTGGTCGCTAATAAACTGTTCCATTTCACATTTTCCTATCAGTTGTACTAATTCGTGTTTTTGAAACAGGTATAATTTGTCGTCTGTTTATAGTTTACCCGTTTTGACTATAACTACATCAAGCCTCTGCGTACAGTAATTTAGGAATGTGTTTAGAAAATTCATCTGTAAGTATATCAGATCTGATAAAACTGTCTGGAGAGGTACAGACCACCTGGTTGATGTCTGTGCGATAATCCTAATCGATCGTTGAAAAAGATTTTTGGCCACTGTGGTAACACTTTATTTTATAGAGATAGATACATTCATTCTTTAGCTTTCTACAGACTCTTGTTTTCAATATTATTCCATAATTTTTTGTCTTTAAAATCGTCCTCTGTTTTTTGAAATCATACTCAATTAGACTATAATTTGTGGACGACCCAATCAGGTTTAGGATAATAGGTCTTAGATTTTGGCGCGAAATTCGTTCACCCACTTGGCTAAATAGCGTTTTGACATTTTAGCTGTCATTTCGTGATGAAAACCCTAAATCGAATTCCTAACCCTCATCATCAACTGTAAATCATAATCCTGATTATTCACAATGGTTTATAACCCTCATTTAACCCTATCAAGTAGGTGGACATTCCCAAGGTCACTTTAGCATCGCTCAAAGGTCGTCCATAAATTCTGGTCTCACCTTTCGTTTTTTGTGGCCTGCTGTATTGTGACAGTTCGGATAAATGTATAGTTGTTCCAAATATTGCACTGATTATGACTAACTTAACTACCCCATGAAATAGGTAAGTGATTATATTTTCTATTTCTTAACTAAATTCCCCTCCTCCACATCCAATGACTCAAATGTCAGTATGCTTATTATTGTCAAATTACCCTTTCCTGCCTGCATGTTTGTCAACCATAAGTAGATAAATACAGGCAGTGTAACCAATTGTGTAACGCTTCTCTACTAATTAATGCTAAGTTAGCCAGTCAGTCAGGCATCCTTGTAAGTATAACACTAGATTTTCGAAAATATATTAAATATTAGCATCTCCCTGGTAAATAAAAAAGCATGACACTCAGATTATTTGAAAAAAATTATCACTTTTTTAAATGGTCATTTGGATTCTTCTCAATTCCTGTTCTACAGGATTACGATAAAACGCAGAGTAAATTATCTGTGAATTTTAGAATTGTGTTTAAAAGACTAGTATTTGAACGAAGAATATTCTTTTCGATCAATTTTCTTAAGGTTCTACAATCCATATATCCAAATTAATAATCTAAAAAGTGGTCAGATTAAGGGCAAAGTACATGATTTAAAGTATGTGACTTGAGGATTGTTAAACAAAATACAATAAAATTGTTAATGTTGATATGACTCATATAGAATGTTAACTTGAATCTGCGTATATGTTAAGTGAGATTTTAAGATCCATGATCAGAATAAAATATGGGTCAAGTAGGTTGGGCACGGAAATAACGTTAGAGCCGTTCGAAGCTGCTCGCGCTTTCGTTTCAACGACCTTGAACGGCCTGACAAGAGGCGGTCATTCCGTATTTCAATTGCCGTGGGTTTGTTGGATTGCTTGAGTATCAAGTTTCTTCATATTTAAGTCATCTTTTGCTGCATTAAAAAGCACAAAATAACTACCAAAAGCATTAATTTAGCGTTCTCTGTTTTGTAGTGTACACGTTGGCTCTGTTGTTGCTTCGTAATTTGATCTGTGATCCCAACTGCTGTAGTAAACCTCAACAAAATGTCAACTCACCGGTAAATCTTAAGTATTTGTAGTACTTTCTTGGGTTATTATTGTTTCAAGGAACTATATTTTTATAATTAATGATTTCTGTTTGTAGTGATTCATGCTCAAGTGACATTTCAGTCGACCTTAGCGAAGCCTTTCAAAGTATGATACCGAACAAGCGTTTCGCATGCTGGGATGACTTTGATAGCGCACTAAAAGAGTTCCAAAAAGTATGGAAGAGTAATTTTCTCCCTTCTCAGACTACCTATACTCATTACATCCACACAGAAAGCAAGTTGCTGAAGGATGTCAGATTCAAATACCTGTTTGTTGCTTTTCACTGTACATTTGGTCATAAGCGGAAATCGGAAGGTTTGAAAGTGAATCGAAAATCGTGAGAACTTTACCTAATATGTGACGTTTAAGGTCTAAATTCCTTAATTGTCAATCAAAGTTCCGTGTAAGACTGGAGGAGCAAGGATATGTCATCAAATCCTACAAGATGCTCCACAATCATCCATGTAGTAGTTCATGGATGGTTTGTGATCCATGGACAAGAAGATTATCGTCGGAAGAAAAAGAGAATTTAAAGCCAGTCATTTTGCAGTCGCAGTCAACAGATGAAGTTATAGAATGTGTCAAGGAGAGAACTGGTAAGGTGGTCACCACTGCTGATCTAAAGACTATGAAAGCCAAACTCTCCACAGGTAAGTGTATAAAAATATATTTCAGGTTGTTGTACTCGAAAGCAGGTTATGGATTTGCTGCGACAAAAAGGTGAAGTAAGGGAACATTTAGAAAATGGATATGTAACGAGAATATGTTTCGGTAATTATCACCAAATACACTTGTACAATGAATATCTAGAAGTTGTTTGTATTGATTCTACTTATAATACCAATAACAAGAAGTGATTATGCTTTTCGTCGTATTCTTCTTTGTAGATATTCCTTATTCCAGTTGGTTGTAACGGATAATTTGGGTCGAGGACGTACTGTAATGTTTGCCTGGACGCGAAAGGAAATGCGTGCCGATGTCACCTGGATTCTAGACAAATTCAAAGAAATCATGGGAACGACAAGACGGACAGAAACATTTGTTATGGACTGTGCACGATCAGAAAGCGCGGCTGTCCGTATCACACACGGGCATGCAAACATTATTCTGTGCACCTTTCACGTAATTCGCGCTTTCCGCAAAAAGGTACACCAATGGTTGCTTACATAAAATTGCCCTTAGACACATGACAAAATAGTGAGAACGTACCTCAGTCGACTGGTAACGGCAGAAACGATTGGAAGGTACTTTTTGAAATGTATTTATTCACTAGATTTAATCAATATTTCAGAATAATAAATCAGAGAGACAGACTGATAGGCCAGTACCTATCTCGTTTTTGGATGTCGCATAAAACTATGTGGGCGCGCATGCCTTTTATGGAAATGTTTTAACGCTGGGAAACAACACAAATAATCGTGTCGAGTCTCTTAACCGTCAGATAAAAAGGTATGCCCGTGTGTGATACGGACAGCCGCGCTTTCTGATCGTGCACAGTCCATAACAAATGTTTCTGTCCGTCTTGTCGTTCCCATGATTTCTTTGAATTTGTCTAGAATCCAGGTGACATCGGCACGCATTTCCTTTCGCGTCCAGGCAAACATTACAGTACGTCCTCGACCCAAATTATCCGTTACAACCAACTGGAATAAGGAATATCTACAAAGAAGAATACGACGAAAAGCATAATCACTTCTTGTTATTGGTATTATAAGTAGAATCAATACAAACAACTTCTAGATATTCATTGTACAAGTGTATTTGGTGATAATTACCGAAACATATTCTCGTTACATATCCATTTTCTAAATGTTCCCTTACTTCACCATTTTGTCGCAGCAAATCCATAACCTGCTTTCGAGTACAACAACCTGAAATATATTTTTATACACTTACCTGTGGAGAGTTCAGCTTTCATAGTTTTTACGCCAGCAGCGGTGAACACCTTGACAGTCCTCTTCTTGACATATTCATCTGTTGACTACAACTGCAAAATGACTGGCTTTAAATTCTCATTTCCTTCCGACGAGAATCTTCTTGTCCATGGATCACAAACCATCTATTAACTACTACATGGATGATGGTGAAACATCTTGTAGGATTTGATGACATATCCTTGCGCCTCTAGTCCTACACGGAACTCAGATTGGCAAGTAAGGAATTCTTACATTAAACGACAGATATTAGGTAAAGTTCTCACGATTTTTGATTCACTTTCCGATTTCCGCTTATGACCAAATGTACAGTGAAAAGTAACCTGACATCCTTCAGCAACTTGATTTCTGTGTGGATGTAATGAGTATAGGTAGTCTGAGAAATGATAAAATTACTTCTTCATACTTTTTGGAACTCTTTTATTGCGCTATCAAAGTCATCCCAGCATGAGAAATGCTTATTCAGTATCATAATTTGAAAGGCTTCGCTAAGGTCGACTGAAATGTCACTTGAGCATGAATCACTACAAACAGAAATCATTAATTATAAAAATATAGTTCCTTGAAACAATAATAACCCAAGAAAGTACTACAAATACTTAAGATTTACCGGTGAGTTGACATTTTGTTGAGGTTTACTACAGCAGTTGGGATCACAGATCAAATTACGAAGCAACAACAGAGCCAACGTGTACACTACAAAACAGAGAACGCTAAATTAATGCTTTTGGTAGTTATTTTGTGCTTTTTAATGCAGCAAAAGATGACTTAAATATGAAGAAACTTGATACTCAAGCAATCCAACAAACCCACGGCAATTGAAATACGGAATGACCGCCTCTTGTCAGGCCGTTCAAGGTCGTTGAAACGAAAGCGCGGGCAGCTTCGAACGGCTCTAACTTTTTTCCTGTGCCTAACCAAATAAAAGTGCAGATAAACATACTCATCAAGGGAATTAGCGTCATGGAAGGATGAGAGGTTTTACGAATCATTTCTGCACACAAAGTTCAGGTTTGAGTTCGTGGATTGCCAGTGCCTCAGCAGTGCATAAAATATTGATTCGGCACCCTTTCGATCCTGTTCCTCTGACTCTTTAGATTACTTTTAAAGAAGAATCTTTTGTAGCAATGTGTCCACAGTTAATCGAATGCTCCTGAATAGAACTAGTGATTGCTTACATTCTCCTTATAAAAGCCATGCCGAATAGTGATCTGAGATGAGTTTGGACAGTGGTCGCTTTGTGTGGCCTACGTAACGTGCCCCACCCGAGCAAGTAAACTTATAGACACACATTGATGTAGCCAAAAACAGAAGTTTATCCGTAACACATCCTAGAATGGTTGGCCGACTAGAAAAAACAATTCGTAGCTTGGATGCCTAGAACGTTTTATTCAGCGAGTTTGAAATCCGTTTATTTAAGATTTCAGCAGTTGTGTATCCTTTAAATTCCATATTCAGAAACAAGATTTTTTTCTGCAGTGTCGATGCTTTTTCCGGATGTTGTCTAGGTGTTAAGTTGCTATCGACAAATCTAGGTGGATAACCATTTCTGATGAGAGTTTGCCGAATTTGAAATAGTTCCTTATCTATTGTGCCTTTGGTACAAATTCGCTTGGTCCTAGAAAATAAATAGTGAATTAAGTTCCTCCTTCTACTCAGTGGGACTCAACTATGGAAATTCGTGTATATATATATATATATATATATATATATATATATATATATATATATATATATATATATATATACATTTTCTGAGCTTTGTAGATCTACAGCACAAACGAAACTTGATTAAAACCCTTAGTTACCGTATACGCGCTATATGTTTGGCTGATATAGTTGAACAAGAGCTTAACAGCTTTCATAATACTCTCAGAGAGAACGGCTACCCTAGAAAGTTTATAACTAAATATATGATCACGAAGGCGAAAATAGGCGAAATACAAACAGTGAGGAAGAAATCCCTGTTCATGCGTCTACAATTCAGAGGGAATGTGGCGAGTGAAATATTAACTCAGAGACTACGTAGGACAATACAAAAATCTTTTAACGCCGGAGAACTGCGATTAGTGTTTTCTACGCTTAGATTAGAACCTATGAGTTATGATAGAAAACAATAGAATCCTATGTAACCACATGGATAAATACTCATGCAACTAATTCTTTGATTATAAGTACAAATAAATTTTAGATCATAATGATTGGTTGTCCCAAATTTGTCAATTCTAAGTGTCTTAGTAATTCAGCATTAATGGGTTTTACTCAACTTTGTATTTATACATTGCGTTTTGGATTTCGTGCAAAAATCCAATAATTGTTGTCTCAAATCTGATTGGTTTATCACGTTCCTGCATTAATTTTAGACAACTACTTCCCTTGTGTTTTGAATACTATCAATCTTGAACAATTAATAATCTTAAATTATAAATGTAATTGGATTTAAGTATGTCGATTATTTTGGGTTCCATCGAGGTAGTTTTAATACGTTGTATTTGACGCAAGATCTGAGGATAATCCTGAGGTCTTGAATATATCAAACTGCTGAAGTGTTTTAAACCGGAACGAAACAATTTATAAGCCATCATTGTACTGTATATGTTATCTTTAAATATAATCTCATCTATATTATTATATACATTTTTTAAAGTAGTGTCTCCAGGGTTTGCACACGCTTTTCATTTTACTACAAAGTTTTATCAAAATAGAGATGTTTTTGGCTGTTTATTATTATTACTTTCATTCCTATTATAGTAATAATAATGATATAATTATCATTACTGCTTTTTAGGATGAACCTGAACCAGATTTGTTGGAATTTTTTGATCCAAACCGTCATGTCTATCAGTCAGTCAATTTACAATCGAAAGGTATACGAAGTTTACTGCCTACCTTACGTTGTGCTTCTGATGACTTGGTCAATGTGTTCCAACATAAAATTGCATATGATTACTCTTTTTGGCTATGCGATACTTGAAATGGCTAATTGTTTGTGATTATCGGTCTCTTTTTGTTTGGGGAGGAGGGGTGGTTAATAATTGGCTTCATACCCCTGATTGTACAGTATTTCTTTAAATTTTTTTACACGTATTGAAATAAAATAAACTACGGGTAGCGTAATTATTTTTTTAAGTGTGTTTTCTTGTTTTCATATAAACTATGCTTATGTAAAGTAGAGGAGTACTATTTCTACTTTCTAAACAATTGTCTTCTAGGCTTTTTTCTTGGTGACAGTATGGTATGTCCTAGATTAGGTTAATCGCAAGTCGCTCGATAGCAGCTAGATTTATTATGCTTTTATCCTTCCAAATATAGTGTTCAAATTCAATTGTGACACTGAGTAAACCTCGTAGAGATCTGGCAACATATGATGGATACAGTGATAATAATTCGAATAGTGTTACCATCTTGGGACTTGGGTGAATTCTACACCTCTTATAAATGTTCTTACAGCTGCTTCTACACCTATTGTTTGCCGATGCTCATACTGGATGTAGAGGCGGAGTGGTAACCGATTAATGACATGTCATGTAATAAAAGGTAGTTGTGTAGAAGTGAAGACAGTCCGATAGTCACTACTCCTCGGTTTATAGTCTCAGAGATCGTGTAACTCAATTTATTGAAATGCTATGAAACATTTCCAAAAAAGCGCCTTATGATAGTTCTGCTTTAATTCTCCTTATGAAGGAAATAAGGCTTCTTCGATGAATGAAAATTTTGGTTGTAATTTTAATTAGGCTGTCTTTTATCGAATAGATTTTTACAAGTCAGACGTTATCAAGAGGCGAAGGTGATATTACAGGACAGAAAGGAGAAATTAGGTTTTTAACCCATTGCGATTATTAGAATTTTACCTCCGTTTTTGATTTAATATGGAAACTACTCAGTGTAATGTTTGTTTTATTTTTAGCTTATGGGTGTCCGACAATGATAGTTTTTCTTGACTTAAAAGCAGCATTTGTCTCCGTAGACCAAGAGGTTCTATAGAAGTGTTTGTCATTGAAAGGTGTACCCCGAAAGTACATAAACCTTGAGAAGGCTGTTTAGTCGAACACTACCAGTCGAGTCATAGCTAATGGCGAACTGTCATCTGATTTTTCAACCTCAAATGGTGTCCGGCAAGTCTGTCCACTATTTCCATTCTCGTTTAACTTCATCATAGACTTACTACTGGAAATAACGTTCTGGTCATCTGAATTTTTGAGAATTTATCTCCTTCCAGGATGTTCACTTATTGACTTAGGATACACAGATGATATAATCCTGTTTAATGAAGGCGTTGATAAAATGCAGAGTCTTTTGGTAGCACTGAATAACAGTGACAATGTTTGGTATGCCCTTCCCCCATTCTAACTGCAAGTTATTGCTTCAGGACTGGCCTGCGTAAGCATCTTAACTAAGGATAAGGAGTGAAGTAGTTGAACGCGTCTATAGCTTCAATTATCTTGGAAGTCTGATCAGCTCTAATGGGTTGATGTCTGATGAAATCTCTGTACGGATTCGGAAAGCCCGTTTGGCTTTTGCCAACTTACATCACCTATGGCGAAGACGAGATATCCGTCTATCAATTGAGGGACGAGTATATTACGCAGCAGTTCGTTCTGTTTCACTTTACGGCTGCGAAAGGTGGCAATTGAGAGTAGAAGATACTCGTAAGTTACTAGTATTTGATAACGGATGTCTTAAAGATATCGCTCGTATCTACTTGGATCACCTGGTAAGTAATAGTGAGGTTAGACAGAGTACCAGAGAATGATGGTAGATCGGTTGATGAGGTTGTAAATCTTTATCGACTGAGATGGTTGGGCCACGACGCGCAATGCTAATTAGTGTTGGAGAAAGGGGCGGCCAAACCAAAACGTGGCATCGGTGCTTGAAGTCACTAACTTCTAGTGTGAGTCATGTTGGTAGATGCAGACTGCTTGGTTGGATCTGTGCATATATGTACCTGGTTTTATTTTGTAGATGACTGACTGATTTGCAACGTGTTGGATTGTTGAATACGGGAATGACATATTTGTAAGAATCCATAGAAATAGGAGATAAAATGATGTTTCAGTGTTATGAGTTTCTTTGGTTTCGTGTACATCTTAACTTCTATGACTAATCATAAGCTTTATCAGTTAGAACCGTATATGAATCCTAGAACGGTCCATTAAAATCATAAAATCAGTACGCTTTCCGTGCGTTCTCACATTTACTATTGTAAATCAGTCATTCGCATTCTCTGTTTTGTGATGTGTTCAAATGCATCAGGACCCTAGACAATTCGATAATATGTTAATTTTTATGTTATGGGATAATAGGTTCGTGCATTGGAGACAGACACATCCACTCCTACAGTCATAAATTTTAACAAACAATTCAAAGAAATAACTAAACAAACATCTCTTCCCAAAATTATAACATATGGAATTTAGAATCGTTAACAAAGTAAGTTTCTAAATACCGCGTTAACTAATATGCAGTATTAAATCAAACAATTTTATACTAGTGAATTGTAAATTAATATCTCTCAGCGCAAAGATGACGTCACTTCAATGTGCGAACAAGTGTGTCTATTACCTGCGTTTGATAACGTGTATTGTGTCTTATTTGTTATTCCGAAGTTTCGGTTATGTTGGATATTACCATTTCTAGTTTGCCAGTTTTCCTTCGTGTCCGCAGATCATGTCATATTTCTATTTATAAGTAATTCCTCTTCACTTCTTTGAATATCAATGTTTTTTTACACTCTTATCTTTGGGTATAATTGTTAAAGAGTTGTATGTGCCCGTCGCCGTATTATGGAGTGGGGAACAGAACTCATTCTTATTCAAATAATCTCGATTGTTCGTAATTAGCAATTACTGTAATCGCGAATCAAACTAAATTACAAGATTTGACGTGTTTAAACATATCAAACCAGTTATTTGATCAGAGATTATGCAATGTATAAAGTGATAGGAGTTAGTGAAATGGATTGGGTTCTAATTCATTTCACTATATATTAGGTAAATTAATGATGATACAAAAGTGTATGAATGATAATATTACTAATATTTCAGCAATATAATTCTAATTTAAATGAATACATAGGGGAAGGTTGTATATCTAATAGTCGAATCGGGTTATTTCGTATCTAATATGACCATTGATTTCTTACTAATACAGCAGTATTATTGGCTGTGTAACCAGTACTCTTTATAAATGGATTCAGACGTACATCTGGGGATGTCTTTATCCATAGTTGTCAATGTTCACTAGCCGCGTGTGGTACCCAGCGCTCTCGGTCATTTTTCCGTTCATTTAATGACCAAGCACTACATATTAGTGCAATTCTCATTAAAAAATATTCAATTTAAGTGACTGAAATTACCTTCAGTTGTCTTTTATAAACATACCCAGAGTAGCTCAACCCGTTATATTGGTTGAAAGACATGGACATAGTGAATGTTGTAGTGGCCCTATATCTGACACCACTTAGATCGGACGAATGATTGCTGTCGACTACTCTCGTATATAATCATCGACTTAAATTGCGTTGGTGAATAACGGAATAAAATAAGTCATATACAGGAATGGATTTTTGAATACGTATATTACATACAATCGTCGATCGGAAAGCAAAGCAAAAAGAAATGACGTGCAATGGAGGTGGTGAGTGAACCGATTCGATTTAACCAAGTATCAATTGATATTTATAGTCGAACAAAAATAAGTTACATATACATAATGAGTTGGGTAAGTAATTAGCATACATACGATCATATAAAAAACAGGATTAATAAGTGACAGAGTAAGAAAGCGGTTTGAGAAGAACCAATAGATTGATCTGTCCAGAGGCTAGAATAACTTATATGGGTTTTAAATAGTACCAGCCCCTACAAACACTAGGCTATGAAATAAATTCTTTAATAGAAATTACACTGAGATCCAGTATTCACCCGCTAAATGAACCTATAAGTGATTGAAAGGGTTGAGTATAATACATTTAATAAATATCAAAATCATAGTGAATAAGTTGTTTAGATCTGTGTGTTCTCTTCTTCACACACACACTAACGAATATTATTTGCTCCTGTACAATTAATAAATTATGCTTTAAATTACACAAATGCACACATAATTTTGAAAATAAATTAATCAAACCAGTAATTGGATGATTGAAATTCAGTATCATTAATTTTCTAAAGTGGTGATGTTTTATTATGATTTCAGGAAAGATAAAACAAGTGTGAGTCTATTCTCGTGCATAGACTTTAATCAATTAATAATTGAATATCTATATTTTTCGGTACAATGCTCACCCTTAAAAAAACCCACTTATTGCATAATCACTTTAATAATGTTGGATATAAAAGTTGAAGTTGACTATTTGAGGTTTAAATCAGAAATATCTTAAATCTTCAGTAATACATAACTCATTCGGTTACAAAAAAAGCAGTGATTCTGATGATATTCTACAAAATAAATAAGCGAATAATTCTTGACTAAATTAATTTAATAGTAGCCTTCATTAATAAATGATATTAACTAGAGAATCAATTGAGTGGAACTCGTCACTGTACATCAATTTCATTGATTATGAAAAAGCATTTGACAATGTAGATAGGAGAACGTTATGAAAACTTCTTCGACACTACGGAGTTCCTGAGAAGATTGTCAACATTATCCGGAACTTATACGACGATCTGCAGTGCAAAGTAGTGCATGGAGGACAACTGACAGACGCATTCCAAGTAAGGACCGGTGTAAGACAAGGTTGTCTACTCTCTCCCTTCCTGTTTCTTCTGGTGGTCGACTGGATTATGAAGACCTCGACATCTGAGGGAAACCACGGCATACGATGGACAGCTCAGAACCAATTAGACCATTTGGACTTCGCAGATGAACTAGCCCTCCTATCTCATACACGCGAACAAATGCAGATAAAGACAGCCAGCATAGCAGCAGTCTCTGCATCACTAGGCCTCAACATACACAAAGGGAAATCCA